GAATTTCATGCTGAATCGAGTGGTAGTATTTTCAAGAAGATTTTCGGTCAAAAAACACCACTCGTGCCTCAAACACCCAGTCCACAATGTGATTTCCGAGATATAGTCTGTCCGGAGGGTGTGGGTGTGAATAGTAATGTTAGGGCCATCGTACTCACCTCAACATCTATACTCCACGCCCTATCATGATATTTCAAAGTTTGTTTATCATGAGCATGTATTTGAAGAGTGACAACATTGAACACTGTTCAAGTATGAACATTGGCGTGAAGTTTACATCTTAGCTTTATTATATTAGCTTTATTTCGATCAATGTTTTATTATGTTTAAATTAAAATTTACAAAATTTGGTCTGATATTAGACAAGGGTTTCCCAAAAATCAATAGTCATAAGTAAATTATGTCTTTTTTTGTTTTTGTTCATTGAACTGATATTTCTTGCCACTGTAATCCTTTTACAAGACCAGTTTGATTCTTACGTTGTAACATTTCTTCACTAATTTCAATTACTCCTCCATTCTTTTGTTGCATATTCAGCTTCTCTAAATCTTTAATTACTCGTTGGCTTCCATAATATGCATGACGTACAATATCTTCTTGAAATCCATGACCTAAAGTGACACATTCAACATCGTTTACTAATACTGTATGACCTTGATCGAGTGCAAAATTATATACAGCTTCACAGGAAATCTCATTGGGCGGTGATGAGACAAGTGAACAAGGCATAATCCATTGTTGACTCACACGAATAGGATGCCACGCAGTAATAATTAAGTTATTTTCAATCTTTGAAATAATAAAACGATTAATGTTTATGATCTAGTGAAAAATAAATTCATTGATACTCACTACAACCATTTTAGCTTTTCGATTTTTACATATTGTTTTCACAACAAATTTTACCATTCCACCATGTGGTGCTAATCGATCATCAGGTTGAACATCTTTTACTAATTTCAAAGAACCATTCATAAGACGTACAGTACATTCTCCATAAAAACATCCAGCAGATGCATTATGAAAAACTGACATATCTATAGTGGCACCATTCTCCGTACGTTTTGGAGCTGGTAAATTACAAAATATATCATCCATTTCATCTCGTATTTGTGAGAAAAGTAAACCCTTTCCGTAATGTTGAACACCTGGATCTTTAAAATTATTACAAAATTGAAGAAGATGTGCACCTAAAAGAAAAGTATAATTTTCAATAATAAATGGTACTTGAATCCTTGTCGTGACAGTTCTTATTAATAAATATCAAAATAAACTTACGTGTTAAACTAGGCAAAAAATGTACACCCCATTTTTTGAACGATTCAACTTTTTCGATGGCTTCTTTTACTTGTCCTGTTAAATCACTAAATAAATCTTTAATAAATTCATCTGTTCCATCTGCATAATTCTTCATATCATTTTCTAATGTTTTAATTTGATTGATTGCTTCTTCATGTTCCTGGTTTTTTTCTGTTACGTTTGTTTTCGTTTGACGCATGTGTTCTAATGCTGTTCGTACTGAATGAACAAATTGTAAACGAAACTTTTGTTGACGGATTAGATTTGGATTAGCTTGTTGAAGATTGCTAGGTACTTGAAATTCAATAGTTTTCTTAATGTTTTGTGCATTGTTATATGTCAAAGTGAAGCTACATTGAGTCGACAGTTGATGAAAATATGGAATAAGTAAATCTTTGCTTTGACCATATGTGATGGAACCCAAATCGAATAAAGTGTCATGTTCAGTTTTACTTGTTGAATACCAACGAGTATAATCAGAGTCTTCAATATGTACATCATGAATCAAGATCTATAAAAGACAAATATCATATATTGAATATTAATCAACAAAAGAAAATCGGTAATCAAAATTTTAGTGTTTCTTGTACTTTGCTTATTTTATCGGATAAAATTCAAATTAACGTTGAAAATAATCATTACCTGTACATTAGTTGCTGTCGTTGTTAATAATGTTGAAATAGCATTAACAAAAATTGTTCCAACGAATCCTCCATCAGGAATAAATGCATATGAACCAGCATTACCTAATATGGAAATATCTTCAAGTAATTTACTGTCCAACTGATATCCGAAGCCAAATGTATTAACAGTACAAGTGAAATTAATTTTTTTCTTAAGTTTTTCTAATGATTCTAGATGACCACCTTTTGGTATTTCCGTAGGACATCCATCAGTAAGAAGAAACAAAGCTGAAATACTTCGAATGGAATCTTGTTGTTTAGCTAGAAGTTCAAGACCAGTTTGAAGACCATCCCATAAGTTTGTGGATCCACCACTCTAAATACATATTTAAAATCAATTGAAAAGTACATTATCATTAAACATTATGAATATGTAAGTCGAAGAGTTTACATGCATGAAACATGGATTTTTTCGAAGGAAACTCAATTAAATTATAGAAAATCCGTTGATAGGATCTAGTTTTATGGACAAATAATTAGCCTTAATCTTTATCACAATCGAAACAACATAATGTTGTATCCGTATATATTTGACATATATTAAGACGTTGATCAGTTTTTTGAATCCTTTTCTTTTCTGATTTAATTAGATTTATAAAGCAGAAAATGAAAAACTCCGAGTTTGTTTTAGCAATGTCGATAAAAGAAAGAAGGTCATATAATGCACGAAATGATACTCATGACTTCTATCAATATTTTAATTCTGTACAAACCCGTAATTTTTCAACTTCGTCTAAAGCTTTTGCTTTTCCGGCTTCATTCATTGCTGTTAATTCAAATAAGGTTTTAGCTTTATCAGAAAATGAAATAAGTGATAATCGATCTTGATCTTGAAGAGAATTTATAATTGTTTTAAGTGCATGTTTAACCAAATCTAACCGAGATAGTCCATAATGCTCATTTTTATTATTTTGCATTTCTGCTGAAGATGACATTGAACCTGATGTATCAACAACACAACAGATATTACATGGAGAACGAATCTCATTTTGTGAAGGTTGTATAGAAAGGTGAATAAATTCATTATCATGAGTTGCAGATAATATAATGTCGGATGACGATGTTTCCATTGGTGATGAAGTGAATTCATGAGTAAGTGAACGATGTGAAGATGCTTGAGAATTACCCATGTTCGAAATTAGATTGTTTGTCAGATTTATTAGTAAACAAGAAGTTGCTTTGCTATTTTACAAACGAATATACTCTTTTATATATGACATTGGGAATTGAAGATATAGTGTTAGAAGTGTCAGTGCACGAATCATAATGACACATAGATGAAAAACAGCGAGATAAAGCCTCTACAGTAAAAATGTTTTGTATACGTTAGAAATTACTTTTTCAATACACCTGTAAGAGCAAAATTAACGTGAATCATTATTGGTATTTTTGGTGTTTACGTAGGAGAGTGAATAAACATGAAGTAAGCGATAAAGAAATCAACACGTGTAATTGCGTGCTTTCAAAGAAATTATTCTTTTAGTATTTACTAATTTGAGTAATAGTGAATATATGTTGTCGATGTAAGTACGAGATTATAGTTAGGATTCAATGTTGAAATATGCAAATGATATTGTGCAAACGTATTGAATTTCAAGCATGTATTTTTTTTTGTTTAAAGCATACTAATTACTCTTTTGCATAGTATTTGAGACAACAGATAAAAAGAGAATGACATTTAATATTAAGTGATGTTTTCGATAGTATCCGCTCTACGACTTTACACTAGTTTTATTATTACAATGAGTTCTCTGAGGTAGAAAATGTCTAACATGTATGCTCTTTATAGAGAACATTCGATTCGTTTAAGTTCTCTCGTTGTATTAACTCCGATCAATATGTCCTGAGACTCTTGTCCATGAAAATATTATTACAAACATAAATATATCATTGATTAGATTTAATATAGAAAAGAAAAAAAATAACGCTGTTCTTGTTTTGCCTTCATCTACTGTATTTTAAATAAAAAAACATGTGTTTTATGTGACAAGAAATGTTTCTTTTCATCTTTCAATCAAAGATTATTGATCAGTGTTCGTTAAAAATAGTTTAGTCATATTTACTGAATTTGCTGCCTTTCGAGTAATTGACATTCGTATAATTAAAAATTCTATTCAATATATAATTGCGCTAGTGGAATTTTTCTGATCCGTAGAATTTATATGCATTGATGTACAGAAATTCAGATTTTTCCTTGTACAAGTAACGTGTATGTTCGACATAAGTACACTCTTGGAATCGATTTCAATATTTCCTAATTAAAGAATAAGATTTGAATAATTTCCTGAAAATTAAAATATATACGACGTTTTCTTCATATTGTCAGTGACATTAACCGTTGAAGATCTCAAGATTTCATTTTGCATAAATTGAACAGTGACAACTAAAAATAAAAGCAATATATTTATTGTCTACTTTCAGGATTATTTACAATCTGTGCTGACTAACGATAATTACAATGAGAGAGATGCAGAGATGGGCAAGTCAGCGATTTTTTGACTCAAGTCAAGTCAAGTCATTTTTTAAAAATCTCAAGTCAAGTCAAGTCAAGTCATGACTAGTTCAAAAAATTTCAAGTCAAGTCACCGCTAATTCAAAAAAATCCTAAGTCAAGTCAAGTCAAGTCATATCTTAAAATTTTTCAAGTCAAGTCAAAATTCAAATCAATTCTATCAAGTTTTCTTTTATTCATGAAAGATCAAGATATGATACTTTCATCCTATTTCAAACGAAAAAGAGTTTCCAACAAAGTTTCACGATAAGTAAAAAAATAACTAGAAAAAAAATATCACAAATAAATCGATTTAACTCCGTAAAAAAAACAAATGTACTACAAATAATCGATTTATCATCACATAAGAAACAAATGTATCACAAACAAATAGATTTAACTTCACAAAAACAAATGTACTACAAATAATCGATTTATCACCACACAAGAAACACATGTATTACTAATAAATTGACCTGATCATAATAACCATAAAAAATGTACTGAATATCAAAAATATATTCTGACTAAGTTTCACAATTACATTTCAATAACGTCAATTGCTGAAGGGTTTTTCTGCTCATCCGAGCACGATGAGCTCGGCAAAGAAAACCGCTTTGAGAAAAAACACGTTCGACAGTGGCTGTTGTAGTCGGTATGCATAAATATTTTGTAGCTAATTTAGCTAATGTGTTATATGAATTAGACGCTGTTGGTTTTAAGAGAATCATGTTGTCATTGTTACGATCATTAAGATAACGTGAAATTTCTTCTTTAATATAATTGTTTGAATCAATTGATTTTGTTTTTTTTGAATATTTCTGATCGTTATGAATATTTGAAAATAAGCGTTTCCTTTTGAGTGCACTTGGACTTGATGATTCAGCACCGTGAACTTGTTCTTCCTGAACCGGTTCAACGTCCACTGGAACAGAAGCTTCTTTAGTATATTCAATAATAACACCATTATCAAATATAAGTTTTTTAATTCTTGCACATATACGTTCTTTAGCTGCATCAGGAAGAAAAGATTCAGTAATCCAATTAAGTTTGAACATGCCATCGAGAAATGGCGTAAAAAGGAAAACAGGATCTTTGTACAGATCATAAAACTGGTTTTTCTTTTTAAATTCGATACCTGTTTCATTAACGTCAATTTCCAATTGTTCCAAAAGACCACCGAATCGTGATAACAAAGAAGAAATTAAAGCATTACATAACGTTGTTGTATGTTGAATGTTATTGTTTTCATTTTTTAAATCGAAATAAATAGCAAGAATACTTGGAGCAACGAGAGAAATAGATGGAGAATTATCACGTTGCGTAGTTGTTGTTACTTCAGCAAGTAATGATAATAAAGCAACAAATTCATTTAAAACAGCTAAATCACGAACATTTAAACATAGATTTGAATGTTTTAATTCGATTAGAATTTCATTTAATTCAAGAGTAGGTATAGCTAAAATACTTTCAACAGTTAAAAATTGTGAATTCCAACGAGTAATAACAGCACGAGGTATTGATATTTTCATCATCTCTAATTTTTCTGCAAATTTTGTATTTTTATGTGAAAGTTTTGCAATTGTAGACACTTTTTCTAATGATGATAAGATTGATTGTGTTTCTTTTAATCCATCCTTTACAATAAGCTGAATTGTATGAGCAAAACAGGGAATTCGAAAAACTTCATTGTTTTCTAATAAGCTACGAAATGAATCTTTAACAAGATCTTCTTGTGTTAATTCAGCAGTTGTAAAATCATTTGTTGTTGTTGAGCAAATATTTGGTGGATATTCATATTCATATTCATCACTAACTGTTCCATCATTTAAATTTACACCACTATCTTCATCATTTGAATCATCATTATCATCTTCAGTAAAGTACTGTTCGAAACCTGGAATAACAAGATCTTTAAATGCATTTATGTTATTCGATCCATTATCAGTAACTAATCGGATAATTTTATCTTTAATACCACATATATTGATCATTTCTTGATATTTTTGAAGTAATAAAAAGCCTGAATGACTACCCCATAAGGGAACAAAACCTAAGACATATGATTTAAAAGCACCATCAATGATAGCATGCCCTAAAACGACCAAAAACGAAATATAAATTATTCTTGTAAAAGAGATCATACCAGTAACAGCAAAAAAAGACCTTAACCTCCTGTCGCTCCAAATGTCCACAGCCAAGGATAAAAATGCAGCTGTTGAACAAAAAGTTTTTAATTGATCTTGCATTTTTTCATATAATGAAGGAATGGTCGTTCGACTCAAAGTTCGACGACTTATCATGCTAAATTTAGGATCTACCGTTTTCATGAAATTAATAAAGGCTGGTCGTTCTACAATTGATAAAGGCAGACCTAATTTAATAATTAAATCATTCACGATGGCCATTGATAATTCAGCTTGTCGTGGATGATTTGTATTATATGTTGAACCTTGTGTTGTAGGTATTTTTTGAAAATGTTTTGTAATTTTATTCGTTTGATTTTTTGCAGATGTACCTTTTAATTCTTTTAATTCATGTAACCATATGTCAAATGCTTCTTTATGATGTTCTCGAACATGTCGAGTAAAATTGGAAGTAACACCTATGTTATCAAAAACTCTTTTTGGTTTTTCACATAATAAGCATTCAGCTGACCATCTCTTTTTTTCTTTTTGATATTGAATATCTTTAAAGAATTTATCACGAGCAGTTCTAGGTATGTTTGATGATGAACACGAAGAGTTGTTTCCTTGGCTCATATTAAAATTTAACTTTATTTTGTTAGATTATTTATAAATTTATTTATTGTAAAACAAAGAAATCAACGTATTGTCATTAAGGGAACTATTGGAAATGAGATAGCCAATGAAAGCTGCAAAAGAGTCTTGACATTTCCAAAATCCTTTATTTTACTTCGAGCTGAATTCATTCTGGGGAAATAGTTATTGTTTATAATTATGTTTTGTTAGATTTCAAATTAGAAACCAAAATTGAAGTGCATAAAAAATTTATATGCTTATGCATTTTTGGACTTGACTTGACTTGTTATTTTAAGGCCAAGTCACAAGTCAAGTCAAGTCATCATTCATTCAAAAAATTTCCAAGTCAAGTCATACCTGATTCAAAAAAA